CTGGCAACCGAGATGCCTGTTTAGGGAGTTTAGGGTTTAGGGTTTAGGGAGTTTAGGGTTCAGGGACTCAAGATCCCCTGGCGATGTACGGGCACACATTCCACGCTGGTCTAATCGACATGCTGGACCTTCTCTGCCTCTCTTTTTTTGGTCTGCCAGCATTCAAGATCGACTGTACAACACAGCAGTTTTGCCTCTATCGAAAGCAAGCGACAACAGATCGCGACAAAATACATTGCGTACCTCAGGAATGGGACCGGCTTCTGCAAACCCCACATTCTTGCAGGTCTTTGTGTACGTAGGATGCAAGGACTGCTCGCGTGTGTGTATACGGAGTGTCCAGAAGGGATGCTAGCTGGTAGCTCTAGACCCTAAAACCTCAACCTTGATCCCTAAATTCCAAACCCTGAACCTCGAACCCTAAACCCTAAACCTCGAACCCTAAATCCTAAACCCTGAACCTTGAACCCCAAATCCTGAACCCTGAACCTTGAACCAAAATCCTAAACCCTAAACCCCAAATCCTAAACCCTGCACCTCGAACCTAAATCCTAAACCCTGAACCCTACACCTAGACCTGGGCCACGTCCAACCCAGGAGCGAGTCCTCGAGCAGTCCAAGCCTGAACCCTCAGCTCCAGGCAGCAAAGGACTCCCAGCGTCTGCGCAAAGCTAGCCTCAACCAGGATCAGGGTTAAAAGTTTAGGGGCTTAGGGGTTTAGGGGTTTCGGGGTTTAGGGGTTTTGGGGTTAAGGAGTTTAAAGTTGAGGGTGTTAAGTGCCACTACTGCATCCTTTAATCAAGGTCCTTTAGGCCACGGCCAACGGAAGCCCACTACCTGTCAGCAGTCTGCTTTGCGAGACAGTCAACAATATCTGGAATGCTGTATAAAGTCCTACAGACCCTAGGGCCTTTGGGGTTGACTTTTAAGGGTTCTTCACATGGCCTGACCTCCACAAGTAGCGTCAGTGTCTGAATCACGCCACGAAGTGCAGAACGTCAAAAGGACAACAGACCGACAACATGAATAGTGAGCGAAAGATTGGAATTGGCGTCTGCCTCTGCCTTGGCACGTCTACAGTTCCAGCCAGCATGGAGCAAGAACACCCCACAGCATGAAGCAGCTTCACATCAACAACTACCACACACCTCGCCTACTCCAACTGCCAAGCATACCCGCTCAGAGCGTGCCGTCACAGGCGATGATGTCAATTGAACCTCAGTTCTCGGGTTCTGCCGTTCCCCAAGATCATGCAAACCATATTATGTCAAAATTGCCCAACATGCAGAAATCGAAATCTGCTTTGGAGAAGATGTAGGAATGAAGGGGTAAAGGAAGAGCTAGAACAGCTAGAAGAGAGTAGAAGCCTTGCATTCGTTACAAGCAACCGTGACATCTTCTAGGGCCAAGCTTACGACTTCCCAGACACTCTCTTAGGTCTTGATTTTGAGGGCAAGGCGGCAAGGCCATAGCAGGCGGCTTGAGGCGGCGCCTGCTGAGATTTCACATCTCAAAATCGGCTTCCCAAAGTTGCTGCCAAAGGGTTTGCTGAAGGGTCGCCTCTCCGCACAGCCGATCAGTGCAAGCCACTGAACATCTCCTTGCGACCTATCGCAGTTGGACCGTGCAGCTTCCCAGGATGGGTTTGCCGCTTCTGGCCTTTTTGTCATGAACCTGCATGTCCGCGCGGCTCGCTTCATGTTTCTGCTTTGTGGCTGTTGCAGCATGTGCCTGTTGCCAATATCCGCCCTCGATCATGCTATGCACTAGGCCTATGCAATTCAATGTAACATGATGCTACGCTGTCTACTACTCTCTCGCCCAACCTGCCAGTACTTGAAGTGGCTTGCGCAAGCCTCGAAACCAGCATTGCATTCATGAGGCATTGATATGGCACCACGCTCAAATGCAGGCATTTTTAAATTTTTGGCTGGTTTGCAGGGTGGAAACGCATCAGCCCAGCCCAATCAGTCGTATGTACAGAGCATGCTTCGTCCACTACATCCGGATCAACAGAAAACCAGTCCCTGCCCGGAGACTCATTCGCTGACACCTCTTCCGCAAAGCTAAGTGCTGGTCGAACCTGCACTGCTTTCATGACTATAGTTTTCGATCGTGATCATATTGATGGCTGTTCCATATACCTCCCACGTACTTCACTTCACACGGCATGCGGCCAGACCATATGCCAACTGCGCCACTTGCACTGCTTGCATCTCCCTGCAGGGGCGAGCACTGCTTGCGGCACCGCTCGCAAGAGCGGCCGCTTCCCTCATCCAAACTTCCGCTTCCATGGAATTGCTTCCGAAGAGTGACCTGACCAAGGGCTTGGGGTTCTCGAGCACGCCTCGCAACAGGCCATACGGTGGTCCACGGACAAACCTGCCCCTTCTGGAATCCACGAAGAAAGTCTCACTTCTTGGCTTGAATTGTCGAAGGAAGTCTTGGGAAGGCTTTGCATTCGAGGCTCGCTCCGAGATCCAGGAAGATGTACCAGCCTGGAACTCCGGCTCACCATGTGCGGGTAGAGTAATCCGGGAACTCTGCAGCGGTGAGAGGTGTTTGTACTTGTAGGTCCCCGTCAGAACATCGAGGTGCCAGACTTCGTTGATGTAGTCGTCATCGTCCCCTACACCGACGAACTCAAGTGCTCGCACCATACCACGGTCGTCATGGATCACTAGCAAAGCGGGCCCCAAATAATGAACGGCTCTCCCTTCAGCATCCACAATTTCGGGGTCTCCAACCACACGGACCTGACCTTGGGGCGGTCCAGACATCTCATCGTCTGCTGCCGCGGCGTTTCTAACATTCCGAAGACCTCGAATGTTTTCTTCCATTCTTGCAGGGTCTAGCGCGAATCCGCCGCCTGGACGATCTTGAGCAGCCCGGACAAGATCCAGGAAGCTTGCCATGGCAAAACACTTGCCCACCACTGGCACCACTTGAGCCACAGGAGACTCGCTCGCAGGATATCATTTCGGTGAACGGTCTCTCCATCACAAACGACCTTGAACCTTTCGCAGTCCTTCTCGGGTCCATGAGCTCACCAGACGTTGTGCTTTGTCCTGCTACCTGCCTGGAACCAGGCATTTTGTTGACAACCTGCGAGTGTCGTTGGAAGCAGATCCAACTCGATGTTACCACCAAATTGGACCGGGCACTGTTCAAGAGTGCTTTGACACACAAGTTGGCAAGCTTCACAGGCAAGGACCACTGAGGCAAGGACCACTGAGTTCTACACATATTTCGCTCAATACTTCTGACAGTCTAGACTCCACATCCGGTGTAGACCGTGCATTTTGGGAAAAACTGGAGTGTCATCGAAAACATACATAATGGCACGATTGGCCTGCATACCAACTGATTGATGCGTCAAAAAACACTCCGCGTATTCAAGCATTAGGTCAGTTTCCTGTGCAGGTCTGCTGTGCAAGAAAACTGCTTGTTCCGGGGTTGATGGCTCAGTCGAAATTTCGGTATGCAACACCGTGAGAAAAGTCGAATGCAGCTGTACTGATTGCCTGGATGGCCCTCTTTCGCCCCAGTAACAGGTCATGCTGCACGCTGACACAAGGAATTGGGCCGTAAGCTGCCCGTTGGGGCACAGCCTGCCCGGTAGCAGCAGGCCCTTCTTGGTTGAAACGTCTAGGCATGCAACTTTTTTCATCTTGCCGCAACAGTATCTGCAAGCAATGTTGACTTGTGTCAACTTCAAATTTGGCATGTCATGGTCTGGATCCATCAGTCCATAGCTGTAGCATGTTCAAAGTCGACTTGCACTCACACTTCTTGCGGCTGTCAATCCAAGCACTAGCTGTGCCACCTGCACCGCGTGCTCCGCATCACTGGGCTTTTGAGGCTTCCATTTCCGCTCTACTTGCCCTGATGGTGGAGTCACCCGTGTGGCACCCGCGGCTCTCTCCATCCATTCTCCTGGACTCCGGCATACTGAAAGCAAGGGCTGCAAGAAGGGCTTCGGATCTTCGATGACCTTTCTCAGCAGGCCGTATGTGGGACCACGGGCGAATGTGCCACTCCGCAAATTGATGAAGAAGGTCTCGCTCCAGTTCTTGAACTTCGCAAGGAATTGTGGCAGGGGCCTGTCGTCAGCAGCTTTCTCCGAGTCCCAATCTTCCTTTCCTGGGTGGAACTCTTTGTCACCTTGGCTCGTCCAATCTCTTCCATAGTACCGCGCATCGCGACAAGTGATGCGATGGGCAGGAGTTCCCTGCATCTGTCTCAAGTCACGGTACTTCCACTTCTGTGTTTTGATGCTGTATTGCCAAACATCTCGAATGTAGTTGCTGTTTTGTTTGCCTCCCTCGACCCCGACAAATTCAAGGGTGCGCACGACTCCGCGGTTGTCAAGACACAGCACCAAAGCTGGGCCTAGATAATGGAAGTAGTTGTCGTACTGATCCACGATCTCTGGGTCACCCACTATCCTCGTCTCGCAACTGGGCGGTCCGAGCCGTCGATCATCCTCATCAGACGCAACTGCAACCTCATGTAGATTGAGGAGGCCGGCCTCCACAGCGTCGACGTTGAGCACGGTCGTATCTCATGCTTGCCTTTGCAAGGCTGCGAACAATTCAAGGTACGAAGACATTGGCAGCTGCTAAAAGACCATAGGCTACCGTTGCATCTATACTCGGGAGCCGAATGTCTGCATCGGCTTACGCATGTGTCATTATGCAATTGCAAGAACACGGCTCATCAAAGAGGAACAAAACTGGACGATTTTCGAAAGCTGGAAAGCTTCGTGGCTCCATCTGTCGCAGCACTGCCAGCAAATGCATACATTGCCTTTAACTGTTGATTCGTGAAACTGTCGGAAAAACGCGAAGAGACGCCGAAACTCGTCCTGCCTGCAACATGTGCTGCCAAGCTTTCAGGAGCATTGCCACAATTCCGTTTCCGGATCTGTTGAAGCGTCACGTGGAACAGATTGGAGAACAAGGGCCACAAGGGCCAATGTTCCAACCATCTTCTGCATTTGCAGTTTGCCCATGATGTGGCATCGTCAATTTTGAAATTGCCAAAAGCACTTCTTCAAACTCCGGCAGAATGATGGAATGATGGCAGTCGGTTGATGGTTGGGGAAACCGTCGGCTCCGTTTCTCACCTGGCACTTTGGCCAATCGCTCTAGAATGGGGCTGGACAGCCCCCATGGCATGGATAGGGCGGAACTCGCTGAAACTGTCACGTCCGCTAAACTACACTCACAGAACACATGAAGCATGTGTGGACAACTAAATCCAGGATGCCATTCTATACCGCTCTCCTGGCCAACTGAGCTCTGAGCGAGTAATGTTGGTTCCGGCATGTCGCGCACCGTGGCAACTTTGTGCACCAGCGCAAACAAGCTCATAAGCCACTCTCCGTATCACTGACAATCGCAATCCTTCCAGTTGACAACACTGCTGGCCTCTTGGCTGAGCACGTTGCCGGGATCTTGCTTGTGTTGCTTGGCAATTGTAAATGTCTCAAACTTAAGAGCTTAAACGACCACCAACAATAAACACAAATCAGTCAAACATGGACACATCTGCACGAAAATCACATTGTATGCCATTCCTAAAGATATTGCTTGGACAGGTATCTTGAAAATGCAGTCGGTGCAGAATGAGCACAACACAGCCGCGAAGTGAAAAAGAAAGTGAAAAAGAAACAGAATAGTACGCCGTGGCGAAGTGCATTTGCGAAAGTCGTACTTTGGATGGCTTTTCGTGGCTTGGATTGTGACTTCCAAAAATTAGTTCTGTATTGTGCTGCATGAAGAGATTTCAGCATTGCAAAACTGTTCGATCAAAAGTTTTGAATCTCGCTTTCTCGCTCCTGATCCGAATAATCTCAATGTCCTGGTGGATGGCACAAACTTGACAATCTGAGGCGAACGATACAACACTCAACCACCCTTTGCAAGCAATCATGTTGATTTGTCCACCGTCATCTGCATCACCAAGAAAAGAGTTTCATCTCTCCGGCGGGGGCTTTTGCCGAGCAAAGAACACGCCAAGAAAGAGTGAAGTGCAAGAAGCAGTCCATCTAGACTTCTAGATTCGCACACTTGCAAGTCTTAGTAGTACAAGGCTTTGGAAAGCAAACCCAGAGTATGAAGCTTGAAGCGGTTTATTCGATTGCAAATCCAACAACATCAAGAACCAAATGCATGCATCGCTTCTTCAAAACGGGTTCCGTTGACACTTCGGCGCCTATGGAAGATTCGATGCGAGAGCAAACAAGCAGAGGTGATCTTAAGGTTCCAAAGAAACAAAGACTGGCTCTCATTCCAAGAGTCAAGACAAGAGCAAAGGCGACAAGGGCAAGGATGGCAAAGGCAAGTTGTCCAAAAAAGATGCAAGGGCAGGGCAAAGGCTCGAAAGGTTTGCAACTTGAATGCTTTAACTGTGGACGCTTTGCGCCAAGCAAGTTGTAAATTATCCATCGAATGATTCTTTGAAGTGCAGAGGAATGCTTGGAAATCCGCTTTCCGCCATAGCGGTGCGTGTCGTAGGTTGCTTCACCGTAAAGCTCATTTTAGCGGAATTTGCATTTCACCGCAGTGGTTGAAGGCGTGCATTGGCCCTGATTGCTGCTTTCTAGCATTTTGGGAGCACCCGTGCTTTTAAATCTGCTTNNGCTTCCCGCCACAGCGTGGTGCGTGGTTTAGAAAATAGCTGCGAATTTCCCTATTTTGGCGCTTGGAAACTTCTCGTCGTGCAGTCTGGCATTTATTCATGTGTAAGGGATTTTTGCCACTCTCTCAAACATAGCCAAAAAAGGTCATTTTGGTGGGGCTTCTATGTTCGTTCGATCCGAAGAGCTTTTTGCCAAATTTTACATTGCAGCCAAAAGCCGCATCTTTGCAAGCGTCAAATATGTCGAACAAGCATACACACGGCAAAACGTCCGGCTCCGACCGAAAAAAAAACGGCTTTCGGTGGTGATGTCCAGATTTGGCTAAATGTGTTTCGATTAGCAAATTGCCATACACGGCACGAGTAAAGTGTGTCCAAGCGCCAAAATATATCAAGCGAAGACACAGGGATAGACGACGACCTCAAATACAGTTTTGGCTGCGATGTTTAAGAAATTCCGCCAAAAATGTTTCGAATATTGCCAAATGCCATCACGGCACAAGGAGTCTGTGCATGCAATGTCCGGCTGTGCATCACTCTTGGGGCAAAACCGGTGGTATAATGCTCAGTTGCCAATCGAGTTTGCTTGATTCTACAGCACGTCTCGGACCTTCCACCGTTCTGTTGGTGTTGTACAACCCAAAGTTACAAGGGTGCGAAGTGTTCCCTTGGTTTTTTTCCCTCTGGGTTCCCCTGTTTTTTTGCAGTAGTTCTGGCCGACAGGGTTCTTTATTTTTTCTAAGATCTTAGAACGGTAGGTTCCTAGGTTCCTGGTTTTTGCTTCATTGGAGGTGGGTTTCCATGGTTTTGTAACCTATGTTGCCGAGATGTGTGAGCGGAGCATTTTAGCTGGGATCCCGCTGGGTTTGTTTTTTGCTACATGGGTTGCCCT